AAGCAGCTGAACTGGTGTGTTTTGACAAGGATGTCAATGGTTTGAGTCCGAGCTCCTGTTTCCAGGCGCTAGAAATTGCCAGCTTCAGCAACCCGATCTCACCACGTCACGAGTCTTTCCCACTGCCAGTTCTTCAAATCTTGCAAGAACCTGAAACTCACCTCCAGCTCGCAACGCTGCCGAGAAAGCTCAGAACCCCAGTTCCTGAAGGCCACGCATTCGAACGCAATGCGAAAAATCCAGCTTTGCTTAAAACTCCTGTTTTCGAAGTCATTTTTGTATTGAGCAGAAATGGTTATCAGGGCCGCACATTTTCGACAGCCAGCTCTAGAAGTGGACCAAGAATGAGGACATATTTTGTTTTGAAATTGCGCTGCAAGCTGTCTACTTGCTTAGCCCTGATAAGCATCCTCTCGGGCTAACGTAAAAACACACAAATCCATGAGTATTTGAAGGAAATAAAAAGGCAAAAATCATCCTTCAAGTGCTATTTAGAAGCCTCAGAGAGCTCCAGCACGACAATGACTCTTTAACAGCAACGCTGTTTGCCTTTTCATCAAAAATGAGAATCCAGTGTGTGCCCAGATGGCACAGGCGTGCTTTCTTGGCCTGTGTTTCCTTCCCCAGCTATGTCTGAATATTTACTTTGCTGTGCCAGACACAGAATTTCTCTTATCTCACTTTCTGTTATGGCCAAGACAATGTCGCAGAGGCCGCTTGGTGTTGCTGTTCTTCAGACCAATAACTACCCACACGAAAGACGCATTTGTCTCTCAGCTGCAGCTAAGATGCTGAATTACTGCAGGGAGTAAATGGTTGTGTAAATTCACAAAGAATGATCCATTCTCTTTTGAAAGGGGATTAAAAAAGAGATTGACTCATTGTGTGAAGACAGCATTGTACTCGGTGGCGATGCAGAGAGGCCAGCAGTACCACCACCCCGCAAACACACGGACTCTGCCCGCACACGAATCAGTGCGGTGCAATCCGCAGCACGGGGGAGTTTGTCCTCAGACCAGTAACAGGGAGGAGCAGAGCTGCTTGTTCTCAGCTCTCACACCTCAGTGCTGCTGCTCGACAACTTCTCCTTGCTTGCTCTGCTGCCAAGGACCCACACCCACCACCTCATCTCTCTCCTCTTCTGCAGAGAGGAGAGAATAAGCCAGGACCGCTGATAGCACAGGGTACCTGGGAGAACAACACCTATCCAGAACTAGAGCAAGATGGGGACATCCCCCCCTCACTCCAAACCAACCAACCCACCCTCAAACAACTGGAAAGGGGTATTTCTGGCAGTATCTCAGAGCGCATTTCACTGGGTCCCCCCTTCACTCACTCAAAAATTCGTTTATCTCAGCAGATGTTTCTAGAATAAAGAGGATATATCCAAAACCTTTCCTAACACTAACGCACGTCTGAAGAGCGCAGGTAACTACGTCCAGAGAGCACTCCAGCACTGCAATCCCAGCAGTTAATAAGGTACACGCTCTAAAGCGGAAATATTCACATACTCTGGGTCAAACTTCTCATTAAACACTACCACAAAGCAGGCTTTCAGGATTGAGCCCAAAGTCCACTCACGCCAACAGAAATGAAGTCAAAAGTAACAAAACCCACTGTACGTAACGGGTGTAAAAACATCAGACTGGGGACTATTAACTGAGTGAAGCATCAACGACAGAGGGAAAGATCTGTCCTGAAGCTTCATAACTCAGTTCAGTTTCAGGTCTCCAGAATACCTTGTGCAAAATCTAGCCTCCCATGCTCCTACCAGCTAAATTATTACCGACAGGCATTAAGTAGCCACACGTAGCAGAAAAATTACCATTCTGATCGAACGCTCCATTCTGATTAATCAGCAGTGAAGCCTGAAATAAGCTTATTAAGAAGAACTCGGCTCACGTTCCTACACATGCACAAGGAAAAAATGTTTTCAGCATGAATATTTAATTCTCCCTTATTTTAACAGATGTTTTGCCATATTTTTACATCCCTCTTGCCAGCTCCTCTTACTAGTTACAATTCCACTAAGAATTGTCGCCTTTACGCACTGGAGGAGGAGGAATATACTGAAAACCACTCTACTTCCACTTGATTACTGTCCAGAGCTGATATTTTTGTCTTCTATAGGGAGCTACGTTACCTCTTCTCTAGAAGCACTTGCTGAGAAGCTTGTTAGCCACAACAGATGAAAAACAGCCTCCCAAGATATTACGCATCTCCAGTGCCATGATCCACACCAACAGGATAGCCTGCTAGGACCTGCTGTCCAAGGTTTGCCTTTACTGTCCACGTTTAACTGACTACACAAAACCAAAAGTGCAATCTCACCAAACCCACAAGCGAGCAGTCACCCTTCCAGCCACATCTGTTGGCTGCAGCTCCACGGCAGCACGATCCTCCACTGGAACATATTTAGGCTGTCTGGGATGTACCCTACGGCTATTTATTATGTGTTAAACATCATTTACTTGTTTCTCAGGAATCTGTGACAGAAAGGCTCATCTGTCCTTCTGAGCCCACAGAGGAAAGGTGAGCAAGCCCAAGGAGGTCTCTGGCCAACATTCAAGCGATGCCACCTACACCCTCAGGTGCCAGCAAAGGGAGTAAGTTTGTGGCTTAAGCAAAAAAAAGAAGCTGAGCTCTCAGCCAGACCCTCAGCTGTTGCAGGCTTAGAGCACAGAGAGACAACAAAACTGGCTCTGTATGACAAACACGGAAAAAAAAAAACAACAAAACAAATAAAAGCCTCACTTATGACTGCACTGAAAGCCTTCCTGAACAACACTGCTCTTGTAACCAAGGGGTAAAGGCTGCAGCTTTCACTTTTGAAAGGGCTATGCATGCTCCCAGTCTATAAAAAGACAATCGTAAAGTGTTTTCAAAGCAGTGAGATTCACTATCAAGGTTTTCTGAGAAATAAAAATATTCCAAACAGAAAGCAAATATTTAGCAAGCTTTCAAAGAAATTCAGCTGCTTCTGCACAAAACTGAGGCAGCTTGGAGACGTGCATCTGGAGATGGCAATACACTAAGAGACTAAGGTCAGCCCCAGCTCCAGTGACCTAAGGGGCACACCTACAAGAATGCCTTTCACACACACATCAGCACATCCCTCGCATCTGAGACCTCTCTGCTTGCTGTGGGGTTGTTTCTGCACAGGTAACGTAGACACTGAAGAACAAAGATGACTCTGTTCTGTGTGACAGGCACACACATTGAAAACCTGAGTCCAAATGATTTTTGTCTTTTCTGTTGAATGTACAAGCACAGACAAGCCCTCCTAGTTTTCAAAACTAAGGATAAATCTGTAGGCTCTGGTCCTTGAAAACATTCATGAAGTCCTTGGCTCCAATTTTAAGTTAAAAAAAGTCACAGATGTCTTTGGGGGAACCTGCAGGAAGCCAAAGCGACAAGGTCTCCTGCATGCCCTTGCCCCCTGCTTTGCCCCCATGGAACACGGTCCACTGAACTCCATGGGACCAGACACATGCAAAGCAGAGATCTGTGAAAGAAGGTTTTACCACCTGCCTGCAACGATACACAACCGGTCACGAACAGATCTGTGGGACCAGCAACCCGGCACCACAAAAACTGCAGGCAACTGCTGCTCCGATTATCTGCACCCAAGGGCAGGCTTGAAAGGCAATTTCTCTGCAGTGGTTTCTGTACTATTGAGAATTTCAGAGCTCCCACAGCTAAGGCTGTGACCACTGCTTCGTATGGCTGTGCTGTATCGAAATGCAATAGGCAATAAGGAAAACAAACCATCTAGGTGTGCAACTGTACGCGCTGAGCACGCTGGCAGAGAACTAAACAGTAGTCTGGGCTAGCAGACTTCAAGTCAGGAAAGCCCACAATTCCAATAGCACTGGGCCTGGGGGGGTGAACAAAAACATGCAGTTCTCTGCCTTCTGTAGGCTCTTTTCAAATTATAGTTGGGCAGGTCAGCTCCCAACAAAAGCCCACATTGGGGAGAAAGCCTGCGAGTTCTGCTTCTTTTCTTGAACTGCATGATTTATGCATAAAATCCCTTCCAAACCAAAACACATTTCGCTTGCTCTTTGAGCATCAACCAGAAGGAAGCAAGTTCCACACAGTTATGGACAAAAAAAGATACTTTTTGTTTTTCCTGAATTGCTTTACTTTCCATGGAGAGATGCTATCTTTACAAGCACATCGTTCTGAAGCTTGGGTCTTCTACTGTTAAACCCCCAGTGATCCACAGCTTGAGCTGAGGACAAGGGCGAGAGCTGTAACAAGCACTTGTCCTCTGCGGCTAGCTGATGAGCAGGGACCTGTCACGCACATTCACCAGAGGGCTCCGAGAAACTGTAAGATAAAAACATTCTCATATTCCAAATCCCACCAATTTGCAAATAAGCTCCTAAGCACTTACATAATCTTGTCCTAAAAAGTGTTGGCTGCTGCAGCCAAAAATGCACACAGAGGAAAGACTTTAAAGTAGCACTGCAAACTAAACGGAAATAGCTAGAAAATGTAGCCAAATCAGAAAAGGTTACATGTTTGCTCCTGCTTCACAGGAAGCATGCATTTGCAATAGACCTTGGAAGCCAAAGAAACACTGACTCTTACAGGAAAGAAAGATAAACAATAATTAAAACCACTATTTCTAAGTTGGAGACCAATTTGAAAATGGCTTAGGTCAGAACAGGTAATTACCCAGTGATTTTTTTTTGGCTTTGAATACTGAACCTTTAAAGACATCATCATTGTTGGTATTAGAAGCAATACGATAACCCTAGGGTCTGCCATGAGAACTCAGGGCTCTCGTGCTCAGCACCGCTCCCTCCACCACGCAGATACTCAATGGCAGAAAGCGCTACACATCGTTACTGCCACTGAGTGCAGCAGAGCTTGTCAGCATCCAGCACCACTAAGGCCCAGGACTGCAGGTGTGCCTAGAAACAGAACTGGAAGACTACGAGTACAAAGCCAATGACAAACCTCCCCCCTTCCATCAACTCAGTTCCGGTTACCTGGCGTGTCGGATAATGGGAGAGGAATGAAAGGATCAGGCACAGTCAGAAGAGGAGGGCTAGTGTCCAAACTCAGAATGTCTTTCGTTTTTTCAGCTGGTAACCAAGAAGAGAAAAGGTAGAGTGAAACAGAGAAGAGAGAAAAGCAAAAAGCATCAAGCAAGATCTCAGCACAGGCACAGCCCAATATCACAGAGTCCAAGCTAGGGCCTGACAACACTACACACGCACGCTCAGAACAAGTTTATGTTGCTAGTGAAAAGAAAAAAAAAAACAACAACCCAAACCAACTATTTCCATGTAGCTCTCCAACAGAATTTAACCCACAGATCTCAAAACATTCCTTGAAAGGGAAGTACTATCATCTCGCTTTACAGCGGCACAAAAGGTGAAATGCCTTAACAAAGGACACCCAGCAGGCCAGCCCCCACGTTGGGCCTCCTTGTCTGAAATAAAAGATGGAACATCTTGCATCAGGCAGGCTCATTATCTATGAGGAAAGAAAAAGCAAAGGACTAGAAGTGCCCAGCCCAGTGCCAGCACCGGCAGAATTTCCAAGACATCTTCCCATGTCAAACCACAGGACAGGAGAGTCAAGGGGCACATTTTAAAGACAACTACTAAAAAGAATTGAACATGCTACAGCATCCAGAAATCCCAGAACACACAGATACTCCTCAGGCTTGAATCCAGCTGAATCTGGAGCTGCTGCGACTCAAGACTACTCCACAAAGGCTGATGGAACATCATAAGCTATTCACAGGGCACTGAACAGCTGGACAAACTCGGAAAGCAACCCCTTAGAGCACCCTTGCATCATGGACTTCAACTCTTTAATTCTCAGGTAAGAGCCAACAGTACCACACTCTGATAGAAGCTCCTCTAAATCTCTTTTTATAAATAGAAATAAGCGTAAATGGATTTGTCACTTCTTGCCCCACAAAGATTCTCCAGCCTCTTCCCAGGACTCCTCTCACCGACGGTCGGCGCGTTTCAGCGGGGAAGCGGCAAACGGTTGCATTTGTCCCCGTAACAACGGCTGCGTAAGGCAGGGGAGAGGAATAGTTGCATTTCGGGCTCCTGGAGGCAGCTTTCCCATACCGTGCTTGGCAGGTCTTCACTGCATGCAGTGAGAACTGATGCTGAAGAGCTAAAAACACGCAGCAGCACTCACTGAGGTTGTCTGGCATAGAAGGGGCTGCTCACGGCAAAACCTTGGTACCCAAGTACCAAAGGAGACACCAGACAAGCTCACACATGCAGAGGGCTCTGCAAAAAAAGCTTCTTAGACCAACCAGCCAAGGACTTCTGGCCTCGGGATCCAGACAGCACGGCCAGTGCAAGCCTTCACCATTTAACACATCAATCATGAGAATACCTGCGCTCTCCTCTGAGGATTTTCCCTGCTCTCTCCTGTCTCTGCTATTCTCCTCATTCTGTGGTGGAGACATTCTGCTCCTCTCCTTCATACGGCCTAAAAACTGCAGGCAAGAAATATCCTCTAGCATGTCTGACCAATGTCTCCGAGCCAAATTCCCTACATATTTTACTTCTAATTACGAGCTGCATGGAACTTCAACATCTTAAGCAGATTTCCTGTGAACTTAAGGGGCTCACTTAGTTTCTTCCCTCACCAAAAGCCTCACCTCTGCCTACAGACGGTGCCTCCTGTCTCTACGACCCAACTGTGACAAGTACCTGTGCCGTTCCAACCTTCCCTTCTTCAACGCAGGGCCAACCCCACCCTCCAGTTCTCAGTGCCAAGGCCCAGCGCAATTTGTACCAGTTTTACCTTCCTTTTAAAGAGGCTACAAAGAGTTTGCCTTTTAAAGAGGCAAAGAGTTGCCATTTTTCTGCAGTGCTGTCCAGAGCATCGCCCTGTAGGACGTATTCACAAACTCACCTGATCCAGCAGTGAAGGAAGAGCCACCAAATGCATCTGTTTGGGCTGCAGATGAAGCCGGCTGGAAACCTGGAATCAAGTTCTCTGTGGAACTGCCCATCTTTTCTGGAGCTTTCCCTGAAATGCCAGACACAGATTTAGAGGAAAAACTTCCATTCTGAAAGCTGCTTACTTACTTACCTAGATTTTTAGGACACTATTTCACTGTGTGTCTTAAGCCTTGTCCTGCAAATCATAACTTGCAGATGAAGCAGAGTTTAAACTGTAGCTTCTACAACCAACTGATCAAGGCCACTTTAAAAGCAGTTAGTACCTCTCCCTTTGAGGACCACGCTCATTCAGCTGCATCTGCTCAAAGAGAACAGGGACTGAGAAGGGAAATTGGAAGGACTTAGCTCTTACACGCACAGACGACCGTGATAACATGGGAGCACCCCAGCAGCATCTGACCGAAAGCATCACCATTCCATGCCATCTTCTGTTTTGAAAGCAGGCTGGTATTAAAGCATCTCCATCAACCTACCGTCACCTAGCTTTGCAAAGTCCTTGTTCAGCAGCTCCTCGGCGGTGAGTTTGGAGAAGTTATCATCATCAAATGGATTCCACGTGGAGACATCGGGCGGGTTATAGACATTCTGCTGTGAGGTCCTTGGGGAACCCGAGGGTGTGGTGGAAGCAGATCTGGATGTGATCATCCCAACCAAATAACAGTCATTAATAACCCATCTGAAAAGCTCCGGCCAGCATTACGAGCTGGTCCAAACTACTGCATTATAATTACTTGCTACTTAAAACACTCAGCACAAGTTATCGTACTTGCATGCCCAAAAAGCTGGGACCAGTTCGCCTTATCTGCTCATAATCTGGTTGAGCACCCCGGTATCAGGGATTAAAACACGTATCATAAGCATCCTATTTCAAACAATTCTCTGTGATGCCCATGTGGAGGCTTCCTGCCTGCAGACACCTTAAAAGTGAGCTAGCCAGTACTCCTGGGGAAGATGCTGATGCTAAGCAGCAAGCGTGAAGCACGCACCAGGGCTACAGCTGAAACGACACCAGCTTTTGTAATCCAAAGGCAGGCCCTGTTTGCTCAGCTTTTGGGGAACACGGAAGCACTCAGGAGAACTTCTGCCCTTGAAGATTCTCAGTAACTTTCTGCCAAGCCCTAAATTGTGGTCTTAGGAAGGCAAAGATTCATTCAGACCTCAGAGTCTGCTGCCCACCTACATCTCGGAGCTTCGCCTAGGATATCTCTGCAGAGCCTGATCTATCCCCTCCCTCCATAACCTGTGGCACCAAGAGAGCAGCCACTTACTTGGACTTGTTGAGACTGGCTTCAGCAGCAGCTGCCTGCAGGAGCTGGGTAGACTTGCTGGCTGGAACCCCGAAAACCGCACTGTGGGTCACGTCGCTCAGAATCCTCCTGTGTCCTGCACGCTGCGTCTTGGGGGAGGACGGAGGGGTGAGAGAGCCCAGCTTCTGCCCTTGCACTGCTGGGGGGGGTGTGGTTTGAGGTTTTTGCTGTTGCCTCATCTGTGCCTGCATCTAGAAGAGAAAGTAAAACAGTACGTCCTCGTTCACGAACAACAGCCATGATGAAAGAAGAGCTATATGCTGGAGGATCTGCCCTTCAAGTCAAGGACTGGGGACAGTCTGGAGGGGACAAAATAAACCAAAGAATTGTGGGAAGAAGAAGTGTGCTGATCTCTAGGATTTCAGGATTACTACACTGCACAAGCAGACACTTTCTCCCCTTTCTGTGGTACAGCTCTGGAGGCACAACCTCTATCGGCGCTTGTCATTAAAGGCTAGTTGGTCTCAGAAACTTGCTCCTGGGTAAAGAGGCTGAGATCCAGGGCAGAAGTAAAAAAAGAAACCAGATCATAGTGTCCAGGAGTCTTGTCATATAGATACATGGAGTGGGGGTGAAGAGCAGCGCTTCTTCCAGCAGATAATGTGTGATTGGGGTCAGATCCCTACAGGAGTACAGGTCTTCTGCACAAATCCTGTGCAAGAAGCTTTCCTAGCTTTCTCATAGGGGGGAGGAAAAAAACAAAAAAGCAAGGACCACAGGAGCCACATCTGTCATTAAAATCAAGAGGAGAAAGACAGGCATGTTTGGTTTAGGTGGAAGCCAAGATAGCCCAGCTACAAACCCTTTGGAAACTTCAAGGTGTTTCCTCAAACTGATCTTATTTTTCCATGACCTCAGTCTTGTGTTAAACTCACAAACCCATAAATACTTGAAATACTGTTTTGTAGTGATAACCAACAGCATCGCTTCCGATTACGTGATTTTTCAAAATCCGTTTGTGAGTGAGATGTCACAGTTGGATTTAAAGCAGGAAAACCGGGATGCGAAGAGCAGAAAGCTGTGCACGCCACCTCCGCTGCCTGGGCACTGCCTCCCTGCTCCCCACCCCGTATCATCCCAGGCCACTTCCAACCAGGGAAGACAGATGCAAGACTTCAAAAGACCTAAAGGGGCAATGACAAAAGTGTCACATCCCCAGTGTGGTGCCTAACTACAGTGGGGCAAGGCAAACAAGTGGACAGCTGTCTTGCTTTTCATCTGGCATTTTCAGGCAGACTAATTCACGTGGCTGAGAAGCCAGCTGACCCGACTGCTCCCGATGCACCCACCTTACACCTCGCTATATAGGTCACTGCAGAACAGTACATCTGGTGCTGAGAAATAAAAGGGCAGTGCCGAAATCTCCACAGAAATGAATGCAGAGCTTATTAAGCTGAAGTCTCGCAACATGAAAAGGTTTTGATGGGTCCTGGATTGGTATTTTGTGCTCAGAGATCCTGCTGTACAGAGACCATGTCTCACCATCATTTCTTACGTGAGCCAACCACTACTTTTCACCTCCTGACTGCTGCAGGAATGGAAAAAAGTGTCCAGACGCATCCATTCTGATCAGCCTTCAGGGAGGGGGGATAAGGCTAATTTTCAATGTAGTCAATTTAATAAAATTAAGACTGTTTTCGTGCTGGTGAATCACAGCAAAGCTCTTTAGAGATGCACTCAGTACTACATTTCAGGCATTTCTCCTGAACAGGGTAATACTGGGCCTCATCCAAAACCTGTCAGCATGTACTAAAACCTCCCAGCAATTTCAGTAAACTGACTTGCCTCAGGTCATTCAGCAAAACAATAACAAGACCAGGAACACAACACATAAAGCTTGTCACCAACCCTAACAACCAGCTTAGCACTCAAAATTAATATAAAGGCAAAGAGGGTGAATATGACAGAGCCTTGAGACACACCAGGGAGTAAAACCAACAACGCTTCCCCAGCACTGCTCAGGTCACTGGTTTATGGCGTTTATTAGTCAAATTAATTCCTGATGTTACTTCAAAGGAAGCACGCCCGAGAGATGAACTAGGTCCCGAATAACTGGCAACTCACAAAAAACCAAGCACAAACTGACTCTTAGTTTGGACTCAAACACTGCACACGTGAAGCGGTTTGTTATCAGATACTGCTTGCTTTGCACACGCGCAGCCTGGTACGGCAGAACAGGGGCAGCTTCCTCTTCCCCAGTGCCCGCACACGCTTTCTTTCCAACAGGCAGCTAGAGTTAGGGATATTCCTTTGCGCTCCCAAAAGCGAGCAAGAGCGGGTGGGTGTGCGCAGGAATGAAAGCAAAAGGCACAGCTTCCTCCCACGTGTACTGCAGAGACACCTCGGCAACAGGGATCCTGCCCTCTGGCACAGCTCCCCTGCCTTCAACACTGCGGGCAGCTGGCTATTTCCCCGTTGCAGCCAGCCATATTTTCCATTAAGTAAAGAGCATTTCTTTTGGATTCACGTAAAGTGGATGTTTTATTTATTTATTTTTAGATACAGTGCTTTGAAAAGTCTCCTTTCCATATTATTCACTAAAGAAAAAAAGTTACCCCAATGCCAGAAACAACCAGCAAGGCTGCTCGCACCTTCCTCTGCATCAGAGCCCTGAATACAAGATGGAAGTTTTCCAAATAAACAGCAATGTACAGTAGTTCTGTTGTGTGGTGCCCATCCTGATGCATTAAGTACAAATAATTTTTTAAATAGTTTATCGTGTGTCTTCTAAGGCAACGTGACAGGGGAGGAATAGAGAGAAACCGCATTAACCAGCTACTTGTACCTTCTCAACTGCTTTCTACTCCTCATCTACTCATCTTCTTTCTGAGAGCACAACTCCAAAGTCCAGCATCCCGTGGGAAAGAGCAGTCCAAAGCACTGCACGTACCTCTGAGGCAGCAAGGTGAGTGCTGACATCTGCGACTCAGTAATAACGCACCGAGGGTCAGCAGGCCCTAGAGCACCTATCACCCTGGGCTCCGCGGGCCCGAAAAGCCAGCCGCCCCTCTGGGCTGCTCCTGGCATACAGGGCCTGGCAGGAGAGCAGGTACCCCCCATCCCGCTGCCCCGCTCCTCCCCACCAGGCTCTTACCACCTGCTCCTGGAACTGGGAAACAACCAGTTGTTGAGCCGACTGTGGCACAGCTGGGAACTGGGGTACCGCCATCGGAACTCAGGGCCAGCCACAGGAATGGTTACAGCCACTGCAAGTGGCAAAGCAGTAACAGGCTGCTGGGGCTTGGAGACCATCTGCAAAGGAGCGGTGGAAAATGGCCTTCTGGTCTAACATTAGATCCTTTTTGTGCGACACCTGCCCGTACGGGGCTCCCACAGAGCAGACTGTTCTGTGGCCCCAAACTCTTTCTCCTTTTTTATTAATTCTAAACATTTCCCCAGGATAGGAAGATTCAGCGGCCCTCTGTTTCCACTGGTAAATTTGCTTTAGTAGAGATCTGTGCTGCTATAAACACCTCAGCTAAGCACACAAGTCTGCCATCTAGTCACATCCTGTCTAACACATCATGTGTTCGCAGGCCTCCTTATCACCACAGTCTACCACAAAAATAGACCCAAGTCTTACCGTTAAAATGCCACGCCAGGCTTCTCGTACCACCAACCGAGCAGAAGAGAAATTGTCCCCCTCTGCTCATCAGCTGAGCATTGACCTCAAGACCTCGCAGCGCTTGGAGTTGGAAAATCTTAACCAGCGCTCCTTATGACTGTACATGACCAAACTATCTCAAGGCCTTCCACACTGACAGTTAAAAACACCAGCCTTGCGTAGCAAAAAGTCTTGCCAGAGAACTGGAGATGCATATGAAAATGCCTAAAAACTGCATCTGCTCCATCAAAAACCAGGGGACTTGCCATAAATGCAACAAACACGGCCGCGCACACGTACCTGCTGAGCTTGCATCATCTGCTGCTGCTGCTGGTAATAGGCAGCCTGTTGTTGCTGCTGCTGCTGCTGCAGAAGCTGCTGCTTCAAGAAAAGCTGCTGTTGATGCTGAGGAAAAAGGAGGTGTGGCTGGTGGCTGAGTAGAAGGGACCTGGGGCTGTGCCTGCGAGGCCTGCTGTGGAGCCGGCGCCTGCTTGGCTTGTGGCTGTGCCGGAGTCTGTTGAGGTGCTGCTTTTTGCTGGGGGACGCTTGCAGGGAGCGGAGACTGACCACTGCCCAGGGCAGCAGGTCCTGCAACTGGTAGGGAAAAAAAAAAAAGGTCATAAAAAGAACACAGATCCGTTAGATCAGTGTGCACCCCACCCCTGCAGTACACAGCGCCCGGCAGGAAGGCACCGCACAGACAACGTCGTTTCACCTTGGGGCTGAATGGCTGCTTGAGCCGTGGGTCTCTTCCGAGGCGTCAGGGCTGGCTGAATGGGTAAAATCCCAGGGTTGGGTTGTGTCTGTCCTGCTTTAGGTCTCTGGCGGGGTGCTATGGAAGTTTCTGTCGTAGGGATGGGATCTGTCAGCCTACGAAATAAAGAAAGGAACAAAAGGAAGAGCAGTAAGAGCACAGTCTTAATTAGTCTAGTTGTCTTAATAGTTGGTGCATGCAACACAGCATGGGTTTAAAAATGCGTCCGTACTTCAGCAGTATGTGACTGATAAAGGTGAGACACTTGTTGGCATCCAGACACACACGTCAACTCTTTCCAGAAAACTGCAAGCACAGTAAAACTTCACAGATGCATTCGCAACAATCAATCCAACGCTATCATTTTGACTTCTCTGCCAGTTGTGGCATCTTCTCCTGTTGGACAGCTGGAACTTGTCAAAATCACTCAACTCATTCAAATATTTGCTACAACACATTGCTCAAATCCACTTAAGAGTTCTGGATGAGCAGATGAAGGACATAACTGTCCTGGTTTTGGTCTTTCACCCATGACAATAACAAGTTAGCTTAAGAGCAGCTGGTACCTTTGGGCAGAGTTGTGTAAACTGCCATCTTTAGAAGTACCTTAACTTCCACACACCTACACCAGAATCAGGTCACTGGACCTCTTCTGACCTCTGCTCAGTATTCACTGAGCTCCAAAAACGCACAGCAACAAAGCCAAGAAGCCAGACACAACCCTGCCCTTCTGTGGACACATTTGCTTGTTAGATACCAAGTTGTTCTACTAATGTGAGGGTAACTGCACTCAATTATAAGAACAAAGGAAGCAGACTCCTGGGACTGACAGACAGGAGATGCGCCTATTTCGGAGTCTGAAGAAAACTGCTGGTTTTGGAGTGCCCACTGCCGTAGTGCTCACGTTGCAGTAAAGTAAGGTACAAGTTTTGTCCCAACAGAATTTACCAGCCTCCATTACAGTATCATCAGCAGAGCAAGCAGCAGCAGGAGAGGACTAAAACCTCAGCAGTACAGTCGTTTCCCCACTAATTGGGCTCTTCAGATGGAGACTGCTGGGGCTTTCATGTCCCGTCCCCCCCAAAGAAATTTTAGGGCTCTTGCAGAAATCACAGCAATTTCATACAGCAATCACTGGGTCAGGTTATCATCTGCCAAGGGTCAGACTCAAACAGCAACAGTCCCCAGTGCGATTTCTCAGCAGACTCTTGTTCTTTGGGTCAGTTCCAGGCCCACTGCAGTCTTTGTCCTGACTTTGCTCTCAGGTACTCCGGGTACTGCCTCCGGATGGATGACACAGTAGATTGATCAAAGTGCACGAAGTTCAAGTGCTGCTGTCAAGCAGTGTCTTCAGCACAAAAAGCCTAGCTGTTGAGTCATGCTGAGTATCGCCCAAGTCCCCACCTCCCCCCCACGCACAAAAATTTCCCCTAATGTCTGCATTTTCTGCCTTTCAGATCTATGGTTATTTATGTCGCTGAAGCAGAAGCCTCAGGACCGCAGTGTTTGTTTCCACGTGTAAACCTAAGCGCCCAGGAGGAAGCAGCTAAATTTATCAAACATCTTCCCTAATAAACAGCAGAAAGACAACATACAATAAAAAGAGAGAAGGCTGAGCATAATGCAGATGTGGTTACCTGGCCTTCGGTTGACTCTTCTTTGCAGCAGCTTCACTTGCTTTAACCGGGTCTGGGAGTTTAGCAGGGATTGGAGAGTTCTGCAGATCCCAAAAACAAAGAATTTTGTATTTTGAGGGCACAAAACAGAGTCAGAAATAAGTTGCAAAAACATCCCAATGAAATTGGGAGATTGAGAGAGCCTCAAAACAATTATTCCTCATGCTGGACACAGGACAAATCCCTCAGTGTTAATGTCACGAGGAGACAGTAGTTTGGGAGCCTTTATAAAGGAAAAATAGGGTTCAGCTTTTTGACCATTCACTACATGTTGAATCTGAACACAAAGCTTCACAGCACAACCTGGGTATTGTTAAAAGACAATCTTACTGCTATAAAAAATAGAGGCGTAACAGTAGTAAAACCATATCTTACTCATAAAGACCATAAATAACCACCTGAACACAGGGGGGGGCAAATCTAGGTTTCTTCTTACCTGCAAACACCTAATTAAAATGTCATGTCACAGCTGTCCATAACACCATAAGAAAAATACTCATCGACTCTATTTTTCAGTTGAAGTCTACAAAGATACGCTAAGCAGGGGCAGGTGGTTGTGCAAGGTCTGATGTAGTTCAAATGCAAGCTGGCTAGTCCCATCCAGGCAGACACACTATTGCTAGGTTTAAAACCAGCTGCAGCACAAATTACACATGCTATGATGAATGCGCCTGGAAATCACGGCAGCTTCACAAGCATGGCCTAATTTTTAATGTTCACACGCACAAGATCTCCTGGTTGGCCTCACATTGGTAACTGGGTGAGGAGGTAAATCAGGGACAAACTGAAGTAGAAAACATGTGAAACAAAACCCTGATTCCTGCCTGCACGCCCAAAAAAAAGCCCAACCCAAACAGCGCTGGTAATTCAAAAAAAAAAATAAAAAGAAGATGACCCTCCTCATTACAGAGCTGGGAACAGCTGACAGAACATAGCAGAATGCTCAGTGTTCAGTAATTGCCACCCCAGTCTCCTCCCACAGTGCCCTACACCAGCCCACTCCTTCGCTACTCACCTGGACGTTCTGGACTGGGCATTCCTTCTTTGCCAGTTTGAATGCAAAGTAGGAGACCTGATAAATATCAGGTCTCTTATCTGGGTCTGGCTCAAGCATATACCCTTTAAAAGACAGAGATGCTCGTATCAGAGTGACAGAACAGACAGATTCACGTGAGCCATTTGTGGCAGAGCTACCTTTGGTACAACCAGACGCTAACAGGGCGCCGCTGCCTCTTTCAAAGCAGCCGCTCGGTGGTCAGCGGGGCTGAGCTGATCATCAGGGTCAGAGAGAAAGGGCCAAGACAGACTGTCAGGATGGACTAAGAGATATTTTCCAACACAGCAACGAACGATTCGTGGCTGCTGCTGAAGGCTCTAGGGTAAGGAGGGGAAACGCAGCCTGCCTGGTCAGGGAATAGCATTGGTTTCAACTTCTGCATCTCCAAGTGAAACCGCAGGAGAGGAGTTTGATCTAACCCCGGTGCGTCAGCGGGGCAGGAAGACCGGCCAGCCGCATACACCACCATCCCCCTTAGCACAAGCAAAGAAAAGACCAGGCTGCTCCACAAACACATCCAACTCTGTGTTAGTCAAGATTGTGGCTAGCACTGTGCTGAGAACAAGAGAGCTGCCCCAGCTCTGCCAAGAGTAGCACATTGTACCCTTAATTACACATTCACTCTAGTCAGTGGGTTATTTATAAATCATTTCAGTTCTGCTTCTCAGTTCACAGAAGATGAATTCTTATCGTCAGTTTAAGTCACTGTAGTTCTTTTCAGTTCCTTATCCAAATAGATTTATTACTGGAGAAATACGTTTCTGCATAAATAGGCTCATTGTGCAAGTTTCTGTAGGACTCTCAAACCAAATGGTTGTCTGTTTTCCTGCCTTTCCACAGAGCTCACTACAGCCCAGTCAAGCAGAGATCTCTTCATGACAATTTCTTTCAAAGGCTGATCTCCTGAGCTACTAAAAAAAATAAAATGAAATTTAAAAATCACTTTATCCACCCTTGTGTGCAAGCGAGTCTCTTAAAAAAAGAGAAACACCAACTGTTTGACGGTAGGAGCGGGGAATGTAAGAACAAAACACCTCTGCTGTTTTTTCAGTTCTGCGGAAGCCGACTGTGCCGCTCTCAGAGACACTCACGGATGAGGCAGTGCATGTCTTGCGAGTGCCGAGAATTATCTGGAATGGTGAAGTTGCCATCGCAGATCGCCACCTGACTCTCCCCGAAAGGCAAGGTGAAGTAACACAGCTTGTACAGCAAACAGCCCAGGGCCTGGAGAGAGAACAGAGCAAAGGACTTAAACCAAAGCAGGGCATGGTCTGATCCAAACACCATTGTAGATAACCGGGAAAGTGCTCTAGCATGTTCTGTTACAGGGGTCCTGTATGACACCAGCCCTACGTTTTAACATCCCTGGGACTGACTTGAAAACAACATAGCTATACGGGAAGATAAATGCATGGAGAGCTCTCCCTTGTTAGGCTGAGATACTGCAATCAGCCACATCCCACAGCTCCACATACCACTACACTTCAGTGTAACCCTTTTAAACAGGCAGAGCCTGTTTCTGCCACATACTGGGAAGAAAAAGCACAGTAATAGCAAAAATACATGGTAATCATCATCCTAATACATTTATTCTGACAAAGAAAAGCCCAAGCAGTTTCCTAGCTTAAGGTTCAAGGAACCTTTCAACCATTATAAATATGTACCAGGGAGAGAGATACAGAGAAGCCTGCAGGCTGCTAGGTTATGTCACCCTTCCATCTATTTCCGTGCTGCTTTTGACAGCAAGAACCGCCACCTATTTCAAAAGAAAATACAAGTTTTGCACAAAGGGCTAATTATGAAGCACTCCCACCATCTCTGAGGAGAGAGGGGGAAACATTTCCTAATCCTAAGCGACTCGTCACCCGCCTGTATCTTTTGTCATAGGATTTCACAATTAAATTGCACTCTAGTTTAAAATAACCTCGATGAGATTTAAGGAAAGAGAGGTGACAAGCGGGACAAGCGCTGCAACAGGCCTTGAAGTGGAGGCCCCACTGCGCACATCGCCACACGCTCGTTTGGAAACACTCAGAGGGTCACTGGAACAGAATTCCTTCCACGCCAGGGAGAGCCGTTGGACCCTTTGGATCTCTGCCTTCCCACATTATCACAGGAAGGAACACAAATCCTAGGCTCTCCTCTGGCTGCCTTTGAGGCCCTGACAATCTTTTCACGCTGTTACAGCTGTGACCTTCCCTCTGCGGGTCTCTAACACCAAGGCGAGCGACCCGGCACTGGTACAGGGCCCAGTTCTACAAACCTCCTGCCGAACTCAGCGGTGCAAGCGTCCCACAGGAGCTGCTGCGCTCCTGACTCCGAGCTGAGCTCACAGAGAGGACAGAGGACTCTTCCCAGCAGATGTCATGCCAGCAATTTTCCCTCTTGTATATGCAGAGGCAGAGCTATTGAGAATACATTAACGCTCCCTTGTACTGCTTCTGCCTTGTTACTTCCTAGCTCAGGGCTTCAGAAACCATACAAACATGCTCTGAATTAGCATTTTAAACACATCTCATTTGCTGAATTGCCAGTACACTAGAAACAGCACAGACTTCTTTTCATCTCCATTCCAACTAAAGGGAAGCCTTTCCTCCTCCATCAGGTTAGCCAGTAACGGCTTACACCACAGTTGCATTTTAGTCTCCACATGAAAAGCATGGCAAGATTGTGCTGATCATTAGAAACAGCAGGGCAAAAGCTTGGTCTTTGGCCAGGTTTGACAACTCAGACCTGTGTTACGCTGTCCAGGATAAGCATGCTATTGCTCCTGGGCAAAGGTCTGTTTTCTCAGTTTTCTACTAAATCCTGACCAGTAACTTGGATTTCACACGCCTGCAATCCAACCCAGGCACAGAAAGTCACAATACTCTGAATTTTCTAACTCTTAAGATACGGGATCAGGTTTGCACTTTCCAGCCTTCGAATTTCCTACATCTCCAAATTAAAACCACATGGGAAATGGCATGCAAAGAAGCAGGCATGTTTTATCCACAAGCCACTCTGCTTGCAGTAGCTCATCAGAAACGTCAGGCAGAGGAACTCTTGATTCAGAAACTGTCCAGTCTCACACAAACTAGGTCAGCCCCAGCCAGAAAGTTACCCTGTCATTATGGTAACGAAAGCAAGCTGCAGTCTGCTTGTACGATGTCAAGCAGTTTTTATACGTACCCATATGTCTGCTTTTGTAGTAATAAGTTTGCCACTATACAGGTTGACCATTTCTGGTGCTCTATAGGATAACGTAGTGTACCTGTAGCAGAAAGATCTATCGGTGGGTTTGAAATGGATATCAGGTGCATTTTCCTAATGGTACATTTCCAAATGATTCAAAATTCACTCTTT